ATGGATTCAATGATTAGTAAAAAGTCATTAATTATTAGTATTAATGATATTTTGGATGAATTAATGGTTGAAAACAAACGACTTTTAAATGAGTTATTGTTTGGAAACAAATGTTTAAATGAATTGAAAACACATTTAATTAAAATTCACTCAAAATATGAAACACTTATCGATTCAGAAGACAATCAACACTTCCGGACATTATCTCAACGATCGGATCAATTGAATGACCGAAAGATCTCTTCAGATATTATTGAGATAATGTTTGGAACTAATGTCCGACTGAAGAGATCATCAAATAATCAACAATTGAAGCCAATAAGTGATGACACAAATTATAAGAGCGAAGACATGAATGAAGACACGACTGAAGACACCAATGATTTGATTTTAAGACCAAATGTCTCTGAAGTACTAAAAGATAATTGTGTGGAACCGATGAATGGATTGAATATAGAAAAGCATACGTTAGTCAACAATACATCAAATCCATTGATATCTCATTCCTCACCACAAGAGATGGTAAACGAAGAGATCATTGATATCAGTAATGAAGACTCGATGGAAGACTCAATGCAACCAAAATTGTTAACTGAATTTTTGCCCCAAAGTGTCCGCCGAAGTGATCGCCAAAGAGACAAATCTAATCCATTGACAACCCATGCGTTGATTTGTCCGCCAAATGCGGGCCAAAAGACATTCAATCTAATGATTTTGTCGCCACCGATAACTCAATCGCTGCCACAACTCATTGTTACCCAACCGGTGAACACTAAGCGATTGATCCCAAGGATTGCTAACCCAAGGATTCACTCAAATACCAATCGAGTTATTGCTAACAAAGCGGTGATCGAAAGCACTCGCGAAGAGTTGATTGAGAAAATCAAATCAAGTTATTCCTCGAGATGTGCTCTCGATATGAATGAGAGGCGAAAGTTTTATGATTTGAATACTAAGACATATATTTGTCCCATAAATGAGTGCCACAAAAGTGGCCAAAAGGACGTGTGGTTTTGGAAGCACTTGAAGACAACGCACTCAAACAAACTACATGTCTGTGACTTTGAAGGCTGTGGTAAAGGCTTTAAGACAAACGAACATTTAAAACAGCATTCATTTACACACAAAGCGATTAAATCATTTAAATGTCATTATAATGGCTGTCAATATCGAGGCGTTAGTCGAAGACATTTGACACAACATATGAAGAAACACTCGACGGACAGAGTGTTTAAATGTGATGTCAGCGGCTGTGGGAAGACATTTACGACACAAACTGGTTTGTGGGCACACCGGCGGACACATAAGACTGAACCGACGTATAAATGCGGTATCGATGACTGTAATGATATGTTTTACACTGCATCTCAACGGACCAAACATCAGGTTATGGTTCATAACCGGCGGCCGTATAATTACAAGAGAAACAAACACCGGTGCCAATGGCCCGGATGTGATTGGATGGGAACCGACATGAATGCACATCAGCGCATACATACGGGTGATAAGCCGTTCGCCTGTGTTTGGCCCGATTGTGGCAAACGATTTACCGCTAAATATAAACTTAGAGAACACATGAATATTCACAATAATGTTAAGCCATTTGCCTGTCATTGGCCCGGATGTCAGTACACGTCCGCCAGTAATGCTAATGTTATCAAACACGCAAAACAAGTTCATAAAGTGTAAACTAATTGTAATTTAATTAAACAAAATTGACAAATATTTGTAATGCATTTGTTGTTAATTATAACAACGATTAATGAGATAGACGCCCATAACCCGCGGCCGTCTATTAAGCCGAGAAAGCGGTCAAATAGTTTACTCCTACACCACCCGACTGTTCCGTAGAAGAAGCCATTAGTTGTTAACTGTTCCCAAGTGGTGATGAATCCGT